CTAAAAACTTGCAAAGATTTTGTTTACTTTTTACTATTGTCAATGATTTTCAGGGGTGAACCGGAAAGAGTTTTTTTATCACATAGTTTACAATAGTTTAAAAATTTGCTAGACAAATAAAAACTCCGCAAATTATTAAATTATCAGGTAGACACAAAATCAATGATTACTAATTATTAGCGCTTATTAATTCACCTGGCGAAAAACCTATTTGTCTATTACCTTTATACGTAGTATATATAAAAAAAAAAATTATATTTGATCATACAAACATCAAAGATTGGCACTCAAAATGAATGATAGTAGATTAAAAAGTCCAGGCAAGTCCAAGTACGCGACACCAAGCAACCAACTGATGTTTTGGAGAATGAATATATTGCATATCTAAACGGACACATTACTATTAAAAAAAATATCCACATACGAAATTATCTAATCATACTTTCTAGAAATTTAATTTAGTTTTATTTACCAAAATTTAATTATATGACAGGTCGGAATAAAGAATCTATTCGTAAAGATCATAATCTAATTACAACATAAATATTACTAAGAGAAGGTTAGGTTATTATACATATGTTAATAAAAATCAATTTCGCGATATGTGACGTTATCTCATTATTAGTTATCTTACATGCGTTGTAGTTACCTCACCAAAAAGTGATAGACAAAAAAAAAATAAATCGATTAAAATTCTCAATTATTAGATCTAGACAAACCTGATGTGAATTATCTAATATCGGTTTCCTTGACCTTTGGGACAACGATTAGCAAAGTGACCTTTTTCACCACACTAAATATTAAAATAAGGTTGTTAGGATTTTTTTAACAGGCATTACTTAAATAGCCAAATGATAACTTTGAATACCTTAAAACATGTAACTTCTGATAGTGAACGGAAGGTATTATGATGAGAACCTGTACGCTGCTGATTTTGAATTTATTAAGTTTTATTATAAATTTACAGGTACAATTAATGCAATTCAGATAACTATTTATATTACCTCATCATTTTCATTAAGATTCTTGTGGGGACTATCTTCTTCATGACCATCGTGTTCTCGCTGAGCAGTTGGTAGTTCATATTTTGGACTAATGAATGAACGAGTTTAGAATAAGAATAGTAAGATAAAATTAAATGTAAGAAAAGAATTTTTTGCCAACAAAATAACCTACTGTCCATTAGGACATTCCAACCCTTTAGGGCAAAATCCGCTTAGGTACAATTGACAAACAACTTTTCGAACATGCTTGTGCCGACAATGAGGACCTAAATGATAAAGACAATTAAAGCATTTTTAAAAATAATTATATATATATAATAATAGAAAACATACCATGTTTACAAAATCCTCTGGCATACCAAGCACATTCTTTAATTTTGCTTTCAGGATCAATGTGCAAGTACATGCAATCTTCGTTACTACATTCTCCATATCTTGAATAAAACCAACATTCAGGCATTTTTCTCATATTAAATTCATGAAGGAACTCGCACTGGTCTCCTTTCTTGCAAAGACCTCGTAACCAATGCTTACATACAACAGCTTTTTCACGAAAGTTTGTAGTGTGCTTAAATTCGCATTTTGGACCTTTAGTGCATGTGCCTCTCAAAAAATCCTGACATATTTGATCTTTTCATAAAGAGAAAAAATAGGATTAGATTATGAAAAAATAAAGGTAAAGCTGTAAGTTATAACAGTAGAGACGACAGTGAAATGGGAGAAAAAGTTAGCAAAGAAATGGCAAACACCAATAGAAAATATTACCAAAGCTCTACCTGATTCATTGTTTGCTCCTAAGCCTAATTCTGTTCTGATGTAATCTTCGAAATCGAAAGAATAGTTATTAGCAAAAACGTGAAAGTCTGGCATTTTTAAGAAAAAAAAATAAAAAGTATATGACGAATTGAGAAAATTGAGCTTTTGATCACGATCATATTTGTATTACGTTGGCATTAACATTAATAATGTGATTTTATCATGTGGCAAACAGTCACAATTCTAGATATTTCGATATTATACATATTTATCGTTGCACTATATAGCTGCATAGTGTTCGAGAATTTGGAAGAAGCTATGACGTATTAACAATAGCATAATAAGGTTCAATAATATGCATCTTAATCCATCTCATTTCATATATGACGGATGTATTGTTATGTGTTTGATCTGCTCAAAAAAATGCCATTATTTGTTAAGAAATATTCGTGTTTAATAAATATAATGAATTCTTGGCTGTACCAACTGTTCCTAACAACTAAAATAATACTAGTGATAACTATAGTATAATACTATATTAACTAAATTCGAAGAAAGCTTTTTTTAATTTTATACTGCTATATTTTTAGTGGTTATTATTGTTACAGTATATTATTACTAATTCTATTTTAGATTTATTTTGCTATAGATAACAGGACTTTATTCTTGGATTTGAATGCAATTAACCATTTATGGATAATTGTACTTGGCAAAATAAAGTTGATTGATTATTTGAAACCGTCTACGTATTGCTGTATTAACGAAACAGCATTTATGCCGAAATGCTAGGGAATTTTATTTTATTTTTTTTCTTTATCTCCCTCTTTATCCTATTTTTTTAAAATTTAAAACGCTAAACCTATAAACATTCATCAAATTATTTCACAGAATGTAGAACAAGTACTGTACGTAACCGTAATTTGCTTATGCATATAATTCGTGAATCCCTTAATTACCACATTTGTTATTTATTTATATGGACTAGCTGCCAAATTCTGAACAATTTGATCAATTTGATCAGCCTTTAATGTTTTTTTATTTAATGTTATGTTATAGCATAGCATATCAATATGTTCGTATGAAACTACTCTTGTTATTACTTGCATATTGTGCCCGTATTAATTCGACATACAATCTTTTAAAATATATTTGTCTTTCTTTGCTTTAAATTTTTATAGGGAAATTTGCGTCTCTCTCTTTTTTTTTTTTTTTTTTTATAGAGATCTCGAGTTTTATACAAAAAAGGGACCTATATCACCTGATACAGTGTCTTTTATTTTGTGGCACTAATAAAAATTAGGTGTAATAGGTGAGGTAAGTTTACAGATCGTTCGCTATTATGTTCTTTCTCCCAGTTTCTTCCTAGCAAGCAAGAAGAAGCTTGAACGTCGTGTCATGCTACTTGAACGTTCGCATTTATTATTTGGTTTAATTTTTTTTGTTATGGAATTCATATATTGACGAGCTTTTATTTAAATTATATTCTCAATTAGTGAAAGCAAGGCTCTCTCACTCCCTATTAAAACTCTCCTTCTCGAGATAGAACACTTTCATGTTTTAAAAAACATCAAATACACGAATAGTTATGTATAATTCAAGTCAGAAAAACCAATATTACAATGGCAGTTCTGACAATAATAGGGTGGACCGTTGGGGTGGTTATGCAAATGCAAATCCTTCATATAATCGTTCTAATAGAGGTAGGAAATAGAACTATGTAGAAATAATTCATTTTCATTTAAATATAGAAGAGACATGAAATAGTGATTAATTATATAATAATAGTGTCCATAAATTTAATAATTATTTAGAATCCCGTTCTGCTGCTGCAGGCACGTGGCGTACGCGAACGAAAGATGATGATGACGACGATTCCTCTTTAGGTTCATCGGTTTATTCTCAACCTAGTGTTCTTGGTGATGGTCATTCAAATTTGAGGCGACAAAATACTACAGAGTCACGTCGTCAAGAACCATTATATGAAGATGAACAAGAATTTACAAATAACTTTGAACCGTTAGAATATCCTCCTTCTCCTCATTCTCCTCATGCAGGTTCTGTAACAACTCGTGGTAGTACGGCCGCCTTGACCTCAGGAATCACTCAACGACCTTCATATGATCAATTTGAAAAAAATAATGATATGATGGATCAACAATATTATCGTGATTTTAACCAAGGTCCACCAGAACAATTTGATGTTTACAATGACTTCAATAATAACCTTCGTTCTTATAATTACGATGAAGAAGCCGCGTCTAATCCAACCAATGTTGCATTGGCTGGTTCCAATGCTTACTCTAAAAGTAATCTTAGTGGAAAGGATTTTTCTGATCGCGATCTTCCTGGTGGAAATGGTGATGAGAAAGGTGTTCGTCATTCGACTACCGGTGATCATTTAGTAGTTCAACAGAAACGAAGAAGACGCTGTTGTTGTTGTTGTTCAAGAAAATTATGTGTTATAATTACATTTATAATTTTAGTTATTTTGGGTGCTGGCCTATTCTTTGTTTGGCCTCGTATTCCTTCATTTTCTATCCAAGGGGATAAAACCTCTCCATCAACTAATAATCCAACCATTAGAACCGATTCTCCGCCAATTGTTGACCTGGATTTCACTGTGACAGCCATGGTTGATAATCGTGCCAATTGGTTACCATTTTATTTTAAGAGTATTAATGTTCAAGTGAGTATTATTTAAAGGTTTAAAAAATATGTAAAAATATGTTATCATGTTAAATATTATTTTTTAAAATATGTCCGTAATATTATATCCTTTCTTAATTATTATTATTCTTTAGTACTTTGATCCTACAAACAGTCGAGCAATTGGCAGTGGCGTTGTGAAAAACTTTAAAATTTCTGGTCGATCACTTTCGTCTGTTGATATTCCTTTATCTATTCTATATCAACCTTCTCAAGCCGATGCAATCGTTGATAATTATGCAACTGCTTGCACAACACCTACTAATGCTACTCAAGATCATCAAACATTACTAAGTGCAACCCTTAATTTACAAATGTTCATTTTTGGATTGGATTGGATATATAAACCTACATCATCTATTGCGGTTTCAGATTTGAAATGTCCTTATGAAGTAGCATTGTCAACTAATTAGTGATATTGTTAAATTTCGTAATTTGATGCTAGTTTGATTATATATTCAGCTTGTGAAATTTTGTAACATGTTCGCAGACATATTTAAAAAAAATAATAATAAATCTAAAATTTCAAAAAAAGATAATTGGACTTTGACGCTAAAAATTTGAGTAGATTTATATGTTTACATTCCAACTAAATGGATGAAGAAAAAATATCATTTAAATAGTGTGTAAAAAATTATTTAATTTTGTGTATAAGAAATAATGATAATATTGTGTTATAATTTTTTAATTATTTATAGTCTGAGGTTTTACTATAATTTACAGATTTATATAATTTAATAGTTTTCATCCTTTTTCAATCATTATATATTTTCTATCTACCTGAATTATCAAATTGTCTTTAAATTCATAAATATTACAATAATACATATTGAAATATTGATCTTGTCAACTGATTTTTTATTTCTAATTGCATAAACCATACACATGCATATACAAAAATTTAAATAACACATCTATATCTATAATCTATAACTATATACTAAAAATATTTGTGTGTAACGATAACGTTTAGACTACTAATATAAATAATTCTATTAAATTGTGTAGTATTAAATCTGTTATTTTGATTTATCAATAAATTTTTTAAATTTATACAAGAAGTTTCAAGGCTTAAATAAAGTTGTAGAGGAGATAATTCTGAGTCAAATGGTAGTTAGATCATCAAAATCGGCCCAGTGG